GAGAGGTCTCCAGTGAGCACGATCTCCCCCGTGCGGCGGCCTATGGCGAAGGCCTCGCGCGGCTCCTGCTGCAGCAGATCGAAGGCCAGTTCCCCGTTGGAGCCTTCGTCCGCATCCCGGGCCTGGATGCGCGCCACAGCTGTGTCCTTTGCAGTCCGCCCAGGGACTGCTACTTCTAGGGAGCCATTGGCCGGCGCCGGGTGCACGAGGATCGGAGCGTGATCGTTCTGGTCCAGCACCCGCACTTGCACCAGAGCGTTGCTGGAAAGCTGAGGGGATCCGCCGTCGCTGGCCTGGATGCGCACGTCGAGCTGGCGCAGGGTCTCATAGTCAAAGCTCCGCAGAGCGTAGATGGCCCCGGTCGCCGGGTCTACTGAGACATAAGTGGACACGGCTTCCCCAGAGCGGCCCACTTCGGCCTCTACCAGCCTGTAGGTGACCTGACCGTTGCGGCCCAGGTCGGGGGCGCGGGCGGCCACTGTGGCCAGATAGGCGCCGGGAGGGTTGTTTTCACGGACTGACACCTCGTAGACGGGTTTGGTGAAGAGCGGCGCGTGGTCGTTTTCGTCCCCCACCCGCACGGTGTAGGGTCGCACGGTGCGGAGAGGGGGCGCCCCACGGGCCTCGGCCACCAGCGTCAGGCTGTACTCGGCGAAGCGCTCCCGGTCCAAAGAGGCCGCGGTCACCACCAGGGAGCTGCCCGCATAGGCCGGCTGCAGGCGGAAGTGCTCGTGCCCGTAGAGGGCGCAGCGCCCCTGCCCGTTGGCGCCCGAGTCCCTGTCCGAGGTGCTGACCAGCGCCACCAGGCTCTCTCGCGCCGCCCCCTCTGGCACCAGCGAGGTGGCGCCCGCTTCCTGTGTCCCGGGTCCCGCCGATGAGGCCGTGTCCGCACCTCCGAGTGCGGCGGCGGCAGCGGCGGCGGCGAAGGGCGAGGCGGCTGGAGCCCCCGGGGCGGCCAGAGGGGTGATAGAAATATCGGGAGCGTTGTCGTTGACGTCTCGGATGCGCACGATGACCTTGCAGGTGGCTGTCCGGGGGCCTGGGCCTCGGTCTTGAGCCCGCACGTCCAGCTCGTACGTGTCCTGTCGCTCGTAGTCCACCTGTCCGGCCAAGGTGAGGCGGCCAGAGCGGGGGTCGAGCCGGAAGAGGTGGCGGGCTTCGGGAGGCGTGCGGGCGCCGAAGGTGAACACCACGTCGCCATTGGGACCCTCGTCGGGGTCCGCAGCGTCCAGGTCCAGCAGCAGCGATCCCACAGGTGCATCCTCGGCCAATTCCACCTCGGCCACGGCACCCTGAGGGAAGGCCGGGCTGTGGTCATTGGCATCTAGCACGCGCACGCTGAGGGCGGCTGTGGCGGAACGTGGCGGTCGCCCTCCGTCCTGAGCCACCAGTTCCAGGCTGTAGGAAGCCTGGCTCTCGCGGTCCAGCTCCTGTAGCAGCACCAGGTCCGCACACTGGGCGCCATCCGCGCGCGTCTGTAGCTCCACGCGGAACGGGCTGTGAGGTTCGGCCAGGCGTACACTCTGCAGCCCGTTGGCACCCACGTCCTCGTCCACAGGCACTTCCAGGGGGATGCGCGTGCCCACCGGAGCACTCTCCGAGACCTCCACCGGGATCTGGGCTCGGGGAAAGCGGGGAGCATGGTCGTTTACATCCCTCACCTCCACTTCCACGTGCACCAGTCGGAACTGCTCCTGCGAGAAGCTGACCACATCGAAGGCCAGCACACACTGTGGGGCCTGGCCGCACAGACGCTCACGGTCCAGGCCCGCGTCCCCGACGGTCAGCTGCCCGTCGCCCTCTCGCACCCGGAGCAGAGAGCTGTTGAATTGCTTCATCAGGCGGAAGCTTGTGTCTCCGGACACTTTCATGTGCAGGTCCTCTGCAAGGGTCCCGATGACCGTGCCAGGGGCATCCTCTTCGAAGGTGCTGTATCGGACTGTCTTGCTCTGGGCCACTGAGAGCACCCAGCAGAGACTAAAGAGCTGCAAGGGGAAAAGGCAAGGGCTGCCCCAGCGCTTCACAGGACTCATGCCGCCAAGCCCCGAGTGCTATTCCGAAAGGCTAAGCTAGAGAGTCCTCTCCGCTTTGCAGATCGGAGCGTGAGACTCAGGCTCCCGGGAGCACGCTCTTTGCGCGAGCCCTGTGTGGGTGAAGTCTGCGAGCTGCAGCTCGGTCTCGGGCTGGCTCGGAGAACGCTCGGACCCGCCCTCACTCGGCGCCTCCTCCTCCTCCTCCTCCTCTCCCAGGGCTGGAGCTGCGCCGCCGCGCGCCGCCTCCACGTTTATAGCTGCCGATATGCAAATCACCGGAACCGGGCAGCCAATGGCCGCTTAGCCATAGCCGCGCTCCTCTGCCAACCGCTGACAATCCCTTTAATGTGGCAAGGCTTAGAGGAGAACACAAGAAAGGAAAATGAGGGAATCTTTCCTTTGTTTTAAAAACTCCTGCTTCCATTTTCTGTTAGCACCTTGCTTGTAGATAACTTAGCACCGGGCTCTGGAGTAAACGAAGCGGATGGTTTTGGTAATTGGGCACCCGACACTCCTGCTCCCCCGCCAGCCGCTCTTATTAAGCGGGAACAAGCTGGGTTTCTCTTCAGAGGCTCCGGATCTCACATCTTACCCCCTCCGCCCCTTTATTCTGCATCTTGAAGACTTCCACATTTGCTTTGCGGAGAGAGGCTCTGTTCGCCTTCTCTCCCAGCTTTCCACGGTGCCAGGAATAGCCTGTCGATGAAGAAGCCTGAAGGATAGAACAACATTGATTTTATTCAAATTTGTGTATGCGATTGTGTTTTGCTCGTGTGAGCCCTGGTGCCATTTGCCTTTCAGAAAAGAACTCTACGATACATGTTAGTATGCATGTCACCGTTCGAATGGCTTCCTTAAGCCCTAGGTGCTAGCAGGCAAGGAAAAAAAAAGTTCCAAATAGGATTTAGCATAAGCTTGAGGAGATTTGGAAAGGTTTCAAAGATCAGCCTGAATCAAAGGCTTATGAAGCCCTCGTTAGTAGTGGAAATAGAATGGCGAGGCAGGCGATCCCATTGGAGGCCCCAATGTCTGTATTATTTCACTATGACAAGCAAAGGGGAGAGGAAAGTTGAACAGTTTCCACAGCGGAGTTGGGCTAACTTGAATATAATGAGCAAACGCCACATGTATCCATTATGCTCCTCTATTCATTCTCAATCACTGCCATAACTCTCAGGCTAAACGGTGATGGGCGCTGAATTCCACACAATACCAGGTTCGTATTAAAGTGCATTTAGAGACCCTTTCCTCCTGATGCCTTGTTCCGCTTATTTAGAGGATTTTCTTTCTGTTCTAATAGGGCCTCACCGGGAGCAACACTCGTCTGGTTCCAGAAGAACAAAATCGCAGCATGACGTTGAAACCTGGCGGGAACCTCGGGTAACTTAACCATCTGCTTATGAAAGTGTGGAACTTCAGAAGTACCCCCTCTTCCCCTCCGGGTGGGTCCTCGAGCTGCCTTGACAGGTATTCCCCCACTTCCATAGCTGAAGGGCAGGGAGCTGTGCCAACCTGGAACAAGACTGATTCTTACTGAAGGGCCCTGTTGAGCAGGCAGAAGGGAGAGTTACAGACACAAACCACACACTTGAAGAAGTAAAAAGAAGGCTAGGTAAGCAGGCTGCATTCGGCCAATGTTCTTCTGAAATTGGATCTAGGTCCTTGTCTACAGACCTTTTCAAATCTCTCTCCTTCAGACTCATTTGGGTGTTTTCAGAGGAGGAGCAGGAGTTTGCCCAGAGTAGGAGAGCCGCTGGGAGCTGGGTCTGGGTGAGCAAGATAGAGTGATGTTTGGAGTTGATAGGGAGCAGGAAATGCAATCTTAGCCATCAGTAAATAAAAGCCTTTATGAGGCTGAGGTGGAGGTGGGCTTCCTTCATCTCCTCCACCTTCCAGTCCTGGCGTTTCAGGCAGTGAGGTCAGATATCTGCAGCCACTCGGGGACATGAGAAGGGCAAAATTCCAACAGGACCCTAATTTCTAATTTTCCCCTCTACTTCCCAAGTGCCATTTTAGTTTTTGGCTCTCATCCTGCTCTTTTTTCTTTCTTTCTTTCTTTTTTTTTTTCGAGACAGGTTTTCTCTGTGTAGTTTTGGAGCCTATCCTGGCACTACCTCTGTAGACCAGGCTGGCCTCGAACTCACAGAGATCCGGCTGCCTTGACCTCCCCAGTGCTGGGATTAAAGGCGTGCGCCACCAACGCCCGGGTCATCCTGCTCTTGTTCAAGAGATAGTCCTTGGGTGGAGATACATACATACATTCATTCATACATACATACATACATACATACATACATACATACATATTCAAAATAATGCTCAATCTTCTTTCGAACCCCAGAACACCCTGATCTGGGCCCACACTTGACCTTTGACTTTCCCCAGCTCACCCCAGCTCTTCCATCACGGCCCTGTTCAGGCCCAGACTGGAACAGGTTCAGAACCCGACTGATGGACAGCAGCCTCTGTGCTTCTGCTGCTGGGATAACACAGGAACTCCGTGTCTCTGGCACAAGGGGGACGGGCATGAGGTGGGGCTCGACCACCAATCTTTGATCAAACCCCGAGATTCCATATTGGATCTCGGGAGCTCAGAGGAATGCTAAGTCTATACCCTGTCCTGTGCACTTCCGTCACCTTTTTTCTCAAAGGCTGAAATGAAGTGTGTTTGGAAGGAGCAAAAGGGCCGAGAAAGCAAGTTAGAAGCCCAGCCGTGGCAGGAGCTGTTGGGGAGGTTAGTCCCAGGTTCAAAGACAATTATTGTCTGCTGCCGGGACTTCGGCAGCTTGGAAGTGGCAGCCACCGAGGCAGAGGGAAGCCGGGAGTGGATCCTGGGCTGAGTCAGGACCGAGCGCCCGCAAGGGCTGGAGGTCCAGGTGTAAAGGCACGCGAGCAGGGAGCTCCCGCTGGCTCTCCAGATAATGGAAATAGAGTTTAAAGCAGCGCCTCGGCGGACACTGCGACTCCCCGCGGAAGAGAAATGCCCAGGGTCCGAGGGCTGAAGGAAAGTCGGGGAGGGCTGACACCGAAGGGAGGGGGGAGCGAGTCCCTAGCGCGGATCCACCCACAAAAGCTGCCCTGATCGCCTGTTTATCATGCCAAAAGGTCTCAAAGGAGCCCCTTTCTTTCGGTTTTAGCAACTTCGCCGGCAACTGTCTCGCAATCCTGAGAACAAACACTGCTCCACAATGGCCGAGTTTTCTCGGGATGCAAATGTCGCCGGCTCGGCGGAGCTGGGTTTCTGTGACAGCGCCTAATGCCGGCATTGTGAAGCTCGCGTGCAGACCTCGGGATTGACACAAGCATCACGTGACGGATTAGGGCTCTAGGAAAGTTTTCAAAGCGGCGACAATGGGGGGCTCAGCCTGATCCGCTATCTCCCACAGTTTAGAGGGAAAGAAAATCAGGATATATTCTCATATGTAATAGGATTATCTTTTCCATTTCAAGTTCTGTACGGCATGTAATTTATTTTTAATTAGGATTATATCTGCCAGGAAAGGGAACTAGACTTCTCTGGAAAGTGTAATTCTAAGGGTGGGTAGAGAGAGAGAGGCTATTTTCTAACATTTTATCTTTAAAAACAACACCAGCAACAACAACAAAACCCGGGGCCCATGTATTTTCTCCCCATAAGCTCACTTCTTTGACTAAATCTCCCATGGAAGTATGCAGCTAGTGCTCTGCCATAAAGAACAAATGAAACCACCTTTTGTAAAGATCTCTTAACATTCCCAAATCTCTGCGTTTTATTCCGATTGACGTGTGGACATGCACTGGAGCCCTTTTGTATACTAGAAATGCGTACTCTAATTTCTCTCGCTGTCAATGCCACCATAATGAGTTTTTAACTTTATACTAAGGCAAAAAAATAACATTCTCTATAACATGATTACATTTCAGCAGTCAAACTATGGGGCAGTTTGGAGTGACAGTAACTGCTGTTTAAACCGTGATTTTGCATTAATTCCAAAGCCTAAACTCTGGGCCACTTCCAGGTGTTGGCCACCCATCCTTCTGTGTTGTTTGGGTGATGGGAAACTCTGGGTGGGGTGCTTTACCTGTCAGGAAGTAGTACAGGGTCTTTGTCTTAGGCTACTACTATTCTTGGGCTCCAATCTCATCATCATTGAGAAACCACTGATATGTTGTGTGACCCTGGGCACATTACCTGATCTCTCTGTGTCGTAGTCTCATCATCTGTGAACAAGGGCATAGTAAAGGAACCTGCTAAGACTGTCTTGAGAACTGTGTAAGATGATATACTATCAGGTGGCTAGGAACATGTTATTTCCCTTCAAATCACAGGGAACAAATTATCAGAGACTATGTAACAGTCACTCTTATAGGTGAGGAAAGAAAAAGAGGAAGGAGAAAGAGGGAAGAAATGAAGGGAAAAAGAAAGAAAGATCTTTGCTTCCCATTCTCTGGAAGTAATAGACTACAGTCGTGCTAAGGCACTTAATGGAGAAGATGAACTTGTGAGAATTTGAGCAACTTTCCCTTTCTCTTGTTATTTGAAAGTCTTCTCTAATTGAAACCACACTGTAACTAAAAGTATCAGTAGACCTTTCCCCTACCTAGTTTCACAAAAGCCATCTGTCATATTTGAAACCAGATGCATGCAGTTATTTGATGAGCAGCAACCAGACTTTCCTCTCTGGCATGCTACAGAACAGCAGGTGACCTCCCGTGAAAAATGCTTGGTCCTGTGCTTCCTCTTGGCATTGACCTACTGGAGCTGCCATAATAAAACACTGCCCACCCAGTGGTTCAAACAACAAAAATGTACGTTCTCATGCTTTTGGAAGCAAAAGTGCATGGTCAAGTCCAAGGTTGAAGGTCTCCCTTCTTTGTTTGTAGATGGCTACCTCTTCACATGACCTCATGTAGTCTTCTCTCTGTGTGCATGAGCAGTCCCTGGTAACCTCTTCTAATTTTAATTTTCTCTTTAGAGGTCCTGTCTCTAAACACAGCTGCATTTTGTGGTACTTCAGTGT